GGATTTCTGACCCGGCATAAAATAGAATTCTGGACTGCTCCATTTTTTAAAGCTATCCTGACAACTAACATAATTATACTTTCATTTTTTTTCGGCCATTCAACCATCTTTTGAGATCTAAGAAAAAAAATTCCTTGTAAAATTTTACTATAAACTATGTTTTTTATTAACTATAACCTCCAATTCTAACTCTAATATTAATTAGAATACTTAATGTTTACTTATATTTTTTAATAAAATTAATTATAAATCATACCCGTGTTTCAAACACCCTGTGTATATTTAGTAATTTTCTTATTTTATAATAAAGTTAACAAAACATTTATGGTTTTTAAAAAAATTATACAAACTTAACAATTATCAGATTTTTGTATATAAAAATTATTTAAATATCTAATTTTTTTAAACTATACAGCTAGTGATCTCTATTTAAAAAAAAACAAACTAATTATAAATTTATATAAGCTTATGCCACTTTATAAAAAATACCAATTAAAATCAAGCTTTTATCTTTTAACCAAGTTTGTTTGGTAAATACTTCGTATATATGAACTAAATTTCAAAGAGTGTTCAACGTATGTAACATTAATGAGCCTAGATAATCAGCTAAAAGTCGAATCTAGATGTGATACATTTAAGAGTAGTTAAAAAAAATCGCTTTTGTTAATGATTTTGTTTCTTACTTTTTAGAAAAAGGATTAATCTATTTCTGTTATTTTGTCTCGGAAATAAACTCCAGTCACATGATCAATTTGAAAACTGAAACCTTTTAGAACTTAGAAAATTACATATATTTAATATCCAAATAGGGATTTTTTAAACCTATTCTTTCCGGATTCTCCGTGTGGTACATACTTGTAACATTTTCGGTGATATTTATGAATATCCACATCCACATTCTATGTTCGTGTCATGAAATTGCAGTAATTTTTGCTTATTTGGAAATAATGAAAAAAAAGGTTTAAAAGGATGTAAATTTAGTTCAGGTTCATAGGAGCATTAACATCGATTTCTCCGATTTACCAATTTCAATTTACCAGTTTCATCATTTCGCAAACTTAAAGAAATTTTTTGCTTTTAAAGAAAAAAAAATGTTAGATACTGATTTTTCATGTTTATCATCAGACAACAATAATTTAGTTTTGGATTTAATAAACCAAATTCAATCGTTGAATAAAAATTTAGAAGACAAAGAACGAGAAAATCAAATATTAAAAGACGAAGTAATGATTTTTCAAAATGAAATTCGAGAATTACAAGAAAAAAACCAACAATTTGAAATTGATAATCAAAGATTATGTTATGAAATGGATGGAATTCAGATTGAAAATAGACAGTTGGAAGATGAAATTGAAGAATTTAGGCCCAAAACAAAAACTAATTACAGAAAAGGTCACGATTTCGAATGGAAAATTTCAAAATTATTGAGTAAAAATGGGATATTATCCAATGTGATTCCTTGTCGCCGAGGAGATAAAGGAATAGATATTATTGCTACTTTCAACAGACGAATTGTTCTTATCCAATGTAAGAATAAAGAAAACCCCATTAGTATTGACATCATTATGAAATTCCAATCTGCGGTTCATAGATTCGGTGATAGCGTTTTAAGTATCATCGTTTACAACAGTGAGAAACTTAACAATCCTTTGACACTGGATGCCAAAGATTTTCATCTGGGTTCTTGTCCTGAAATCAAGGTAGTGAACGATCAAGAGATCGTAGATTGTATCAAAGGACAAGGAGCTTTTAGATAGGATATTGATTTTTTGTTACCGTGCTTTTCAATTACTGTAGTTAGCAGTCATGTGAAAGCCAGAAATGTATACAACGATTTTTTTGTAATTATATATGTTGTTCTTTTAGTACATTGTAAAATCTTTGATTAGATACAGCTGTTTTACGAAATAAGAGAGGTTCATATTTTGCTTTGCCAGCTTGTGAACAAGGTAGAGCAATTTAGAAACAATAATCGACGGGTAATACTTCAATTTTACATACTTACCGACTAATTAGCATAAATTAACAAAAAATAAAATATCAATCAGTTATAGTTATATTCAAATAAATGAGAATAATGAAGAGATAAATCTCTCATTTTAAATATATCGTTTAATAAAAGACATACATACTAAGTCAACGTTAATAATTTAATAAAAGCCTCTTTTTAATAATAAATATTCATTATACTTACTGACTAAATCAATGTGAATAAGAAATTAAATGAGAAATAAATAGCTTAATTTAAATCTTTTAATTAATCAATGTGAAGAAATGAGTGCCTATGTTACATAATCGATTAATTTAATTAATTCTAGCTTATCAATAAACCAACATGAATAAATTGAAATAAAATAAAGATTGTTTTAAAATTTCATCAGTGGGGAATTTCAGAATTAATTTTTTTTCAATATAAGTGAGGATTTAAAAGATCCTATTTCTTTTTCAGAATTCCGAATCAGAAAATTAAATAGGCGTAGCCGGTGATAAAGTTAGCTTTTTTTTGATAAACATTCATCGATAAGCGATTATGTAAATAAGTACATACTTTAAAAAAAGTAGAACTTTACATCGCTTCTTTTGAAATAAATATGTCACTTATTTTATCTGAAATCAGACGCTAAATCATTAATTTTGAAACCCCCAATATAACATTTTTACCAACTAATCAGCTTGAATAAGAAATTAAATGAGATAAAGTAACTTGTTGTCCGAAGCGTAGCGAGGACTCTGATTTTGTGTTGGATTCCAGTCACGTGTACACATGCTAGCCAATCAGTTATAGAGATCGACACGGATAAATTTACATAGCAAATAAGCACCACACCCTCTACCGGAAATAGCAATAAAGTCTTTACTCAAGTTATTCCCGTTAATCAGAGATTTAAAAAAATAGGACAGAGGGTGTGGTGCTTATTTTCGGGATTTTACGGGATTTTATTTTATTTTAACAGTTAAGTAATTCAATAACAAATTAAATTAAACTATGGATATAGATGTGAACAAAGATAAATAAGTAAAGAGATGTGTAGTATTCCTATAGTTATAACATATAATATTCTCGTTATTTATAGAATTTCTTGAAATTCTTGCGGGATCCATGGAGTCACTCTGGCTGGTCCCCCTGGGGTGACATAAATTCACTTGAGTACCTCATTCACAAGTGATTTAGATAATATCTAAGTTAGATCAATATACTAGTTTCTAACTTTTTAAGTTTATAACCAGAAGCTTGAATTATTGTTTTGGTTAAATAATTATTAGGCCAATTCTATTTTGACCCGGGTCAAAGTGACCTATTACATGACCATATTCCTGAGAATTTTCAAACCTTTGAGCGAAGATACCTCAACAACGATCCGGCCAAATTCGATAAAACTTTTTTATTTGAATTCTATGGATTCATAGAATTCGAATAAAAATTATTTTATCGAATTTAGTCAGGTAATTGTTGAGACATGTTCGCTCAAAGTTTTAGATAGAATTTGGCGCAGCTTCTATTTTGATAGGCGCTCTGATTTTTTCTAACTTTGGGCGAAGGTATCTCGACAACAACCTGACTAAATTCGATGAAATTTTTTTTATGAATCCATAGAATTCAAATAAAAATTATTTTATCGAATTTGGTCGGATGGTTGTTGAGGTATCTTCGCTCAAAGGTTTGAAAATTCTCAGGAACATGGTCATGTGATGGGAATTTTCCAGATTCTCTATATAATATATAATGTTTTATTTCGCATCTGCAATTTAATCTATATATCGAATGTAAAAAAATAATTTATACTTACCGACTAAATTAATGATTTGGCGTAATGGTAAATAAGTACTTATGATTTTGTTTTGTTGATTTTATTTCTAGAAATTATTAAATATCTTTATACTCACAGACTAAATTAATGATTTGTACGTAATGGGTAAATAAGTATTTCTGTTCTTGTTTTGTGAACATGTTTTGCTGTTTTTAATTCCATTGATTATAAATGTTCTCTATACTCACACACTGAGTGAGATGATTGATGCGAATGAAATGAATTTTAAACGTAATGGTAAATAAGTATTTCTGTTCTTGTTTTGTGAACATGTTTTGCTGTTTTAATTCCATTGATTATAAATGTTCTCTATACTCACGCACTGAGTGAGATGATTAATGCGAATGAAATGAATTTAAACGTAATGGTAAATAAGTATTTATGTTCATGATTTGTGAACTTGTTTTGCTGTTTTTAATTCCATTGATTAATAATGTTTTTTATACTCACGAGCTGGATAAAATGATTAATGCGAATGAAATGAATTTAAACGTAATGGTAAATGAGTGTAGTTATGATCTTGTTTTGTGAACTGTTTTGCTGTTTTTAATTCTATTGATTAATAAATGTTCTTTATACTCACGGACTAATGAAATGAATTTAACGTAATGGTAAATAAATATTTGTGTTCTTGCTTTGTGAACTTGGCTTGCTGTTCTTATTTCCATTGATTAATAAATGCTCTTTATACTCACCCACTAAATTAATGCGAATGAAATGAATTTAAACGTAATGGTAAATAAGTATTTATGTTTTGTTTTGTGAACTTGTTTCGTTGTTTTTAATTCCATTGATTAATAAATATTCTTTATACTCACTCACTGAATAAAATGATTAATGCGAATGAAATTAATTTAAACGTAATCGTAAATAAGTATTTATGATCTTATTTTGTGAACTTGTTTTGCTGTTTTTAATTCCATTGGTTTCTTTATACTCACAAACTAAATTAATGCGAATGAAATGAATTTAAACGTAATGGTAAATAAGTATTTATGATCTTTTTTTGTGAACTTGTTTTGCTGTTTTTAATTCCATTGATTTCTTTATACCCACAAACTAAATTAATGCGAATGAAATGAATTTAAACGTAATGGTAAATAAGTATTTATTTAGGTTCTTGATTTGTGAACTTGTGTTTGCTGTTTTTAATTCCATTGATTAATAAGTGTTCTTTATACTCACGGACTAATGAAGTATACATTATTGGGCAAAAATTTGTGAATAACGGCAATTTGGCTCAACCGGACAAATGATATTGGCTGACAAGT